ATTCATTATATTTCAGCTGCCTTTCATCATATTTCTCTATTTCCTATCCAACATGACTAGTATCCTGACCTCTTGTCATGTTAATTCACAATCCTTACCAGCCCATTTCGACGAATTTCAGCAATATTTTACCTGCAATTTTTACCATACTATTGCAGTTTCCGAAACATGGCTAAAACCCCACATACCTTCCTCTTCCGTTTCCTTACCCGATCACACCTTTATCCGCCATGACCGGATTACAAGAACGGTTGGTGGTGTGGTTCTTTACGTCCATAATAGCCTAAAATCCCGAATTCTAGATATCTCACTCCCTTCCAATTGTCCCCACATGGAATATCTTTTTGTTGAAATTTCCTTCAAAGCCCATCTTCTCCTATACGTTGTAGTATACCGCCCTCTGGTACCTTTCGACCCATCCTTCGAATCAACCCTATACAAATTTATCCCATTTTACAGTAACATAATAGTTTCCGGTGACTTTAACGCCAATCTCCTTTCCGATTCCCACGATAAACACTACCTGGAAAACCTTTTCTACTCCCTTAACCTCTTTATAGTACCATTTGCTCCTACGCATCACACTTGCTGGTCTGATACATGGCTGGACCTGTTTATCATCGATTCTGCGCAGAACCTTTTAACCTCGACCCAACAACCTGTTCCTTTCCTGTCTTCACATGACCTCATCCAACTATCATACAATATCCAGACCCCTGCGATCCTTCCTAAAGCCATAACCTTCCGCAATATAAATTCCCTAACCCGTGAAAGCATCTTACCCGATATTGAAACCCTGAATTGGAATGATGTTTACACCAGCTCCTCAATTGATAACATGGTAGATATCCTGACTTCTAATCTCCTCCATATCCTCAATACCCATGCCCCACTTAAAACCTCTACATTCCGTCGCCAACCTGCTCCTTGGATGCGTCAAGAAATTCGAATTATGCAAAAGAGACGTGAGGCAGCCCGTAGACGTTTTAGAAGAACCAGGCTTGCAGATGACTACGAAGCGTTCAGGGTACTCCGGAACTTGACGCAAATAACGATCAGGCAAGCGAAAACCAATTACTTTCATGAAGCCTTCTCCTCAGCTCCCGATTCTAAATCCAAATGGCATTTACTCCGAAAGCTATCTCTTTGCAAATCATCTTCTTCCATAGCTGTCCCAGTCTCTCCTGATGCCTTAAATTCCTACTTTTTATCCTCCTCCTCTAGTAATATTTCTCCCGCCTCTTCTTATATTCCTGTATCATCTGCATTTAATAGTGACATTTTTTATTTTTCCTACATCACTCCTACGAACCTTATTTCCTCCATAATGAAATCCTAATCCAACTCTACAGTAATTGACGGAATACCTGTCAAACTCTTAAAATTATGCCTCCCTGAAATCCTTCCAGTTCTTCTATTCATTTATAACTTTTCCCTTCAAAATTCTGTTTTTCCTACATCCTGGAAAAAAGCCTTAGTCCGTCCTATTAACAAAATCCCTAACCCCACCTCTCCTAAAGACTATCGTCCAATCCCCATCCTCTCAAATCTGTCAAAACCCCTCGAAAGAATAGTCCAATCCCAAATTTCCAATTATCTCGAAGAGTTCAAACTTTTAGATCCTCTCCAATCTGGCTTTCGCCCAGGCTTCTCCACTCAATCCGCTTTAGCTAAAATCACAAATGACATACATACTGCAATTGACGAAAGAAAACTGACTGTATTAGTACTCCTGGACTTCTCCAAAGCATTCGACTCCTTAGACCATTCTATTCTCTTCAATAAATTAAAATCTCTATCCTTTTCCAATAGTTCTATCCAATGGTTCCAATCCTTTCTTTCTGAAAGGACTCAAGCCGTTAGTATTCCGAATCAACCCTTATCTTCTTTCCTCACTTTGTCTCATGGAGTAGCCCAGGGCTCAAGCATTTCTCCTATCCTTTTTAATTCTTACATCAATGACCTTCCTAGTTCAATCCACCATTGTTCATACCATCTATATGCTGATGACTCCCAAATTTATTTTTCCTTTCCGCCCACTGAGTTATTAGAAGCGTTTACGATTATTCAGAGAGACCTAGATAGGATAAGTGCCTGGGCATGCTTGAATAAATTAAAGTTGAATGCAACGAAAACTCAGGCCATTCTTATAGGTTCAACTCCCTCCTTAGATCTATTTCCACCCATCCTTCCTTGATTATTAATGACCAACCAATCTCCTTCACCTCCTCTGTAAAAAACTTAGGAATTACCATTGATCAAAACCTATCATGGAAACCCCATATTGCTCAAATCTTCAGGTCTATTGGTACTCTTAAATTATTTCATCGTTCTCGTCAGCATCTCCCACAACCTATCCGCAGGCTCCTCGTTTCCTCATTGATTTTCCCCTACTTTGACTATGGATGTGTGGTATACGGTGGTCTCTCGTTGGAGCTTGAGGACAGACTGAAGAGAATCATGAACTGTTTTTTAAGGTTCGTCTTCGGCACTTCGAGATGGTCTCATGTGTCCCACCTATATGCCGAGTCAAAGTGGCTCTTACCCTCTTCCCGCCGCCTATACTTCCTTGGAAATTTCTTATACCAAACGATCAACTCACAGCACCCTTCCTATATCTGTTGTCTCCTCCAGCCTAAACCCTTAGTCCACTCAATAAAAACGAGATCCCGTGTTTCTGACCTCTATATTCCATTCCACAGGACAAAAACCTATGAACGTTCCTACTTAGCCCGCCCCGTCTCCTACTGGAATTCTTTGCCACATAACATCCGTCATGCCTCTTTCCTGTCAACTTTCAAATACCTCCTTTTCCAATATCTCCTTACATCCCAAACAGAAGATTTACCACCATAAATTTCATTTTAGGAACTGAATTTGCGAGAAGTAAATAGTGGTGCCTACTGTTTAAGTTTTAACATAAAACAGCAATGATCTTTGTCACCTAGTTTGACTATTATTTTTACTATTTATTTATTTTTCTCTTCTCCTCAGGTTGTGCTTTTTTTTTTTCGGGTATATATGTTATATTTTATATCTTTGTCTTTATGTGTGCCAATATGAGAATGTACGTATAAATAGTTCCTTTTATTTATTTTTTTTTTTCCATTACACCACAAGTATCGTAAGATTTTATTTTATCTTAGTGTCTGCATATTATTATATAAACCACTGTAGATATTATTACATTTTGTATTAAGTTAGTTTTCTATTAGATAGCCTATTGTTTATAAATTGTGTAGTTATGTATATATAAATATGTAATTTCTCTTCTTTTTTTTTTTTCATCACAATTAAGTAATTTTGAGAAGATTTTATGTTCATTTGTATGTATATTTTATTTTTTACTGGTTACATACTTTTTAAATAATGCTTATAATATTAAAATTTTTATTAGTTAGTTTTTGGCCAGATTTGTACTTTACTTTGTATTAACTCATCATTGTTATTCTAAAGGGACTTAGTCCCAGAATAAAGTTTAATTTTCTAAAAAAAAAAAAAAAAAGGGTTATATTACACAAGAAGTTTCACCAATTTATCCTTAGCGACTTCCCTCTCCAAAAATTCTTCTTTCTATCATAAAATTGATTAAAACCAATGCTATGCCTTATATATATAAACAGGAATTTGTCAAACTTCAAGGCAACTAGGAGATTATAATTTGATCTACACTGACGGCTCGAAGAGCTCCGCAGGCGCAGTAGCATCGGTTGTGTGAAATGAGCGACATATTTTTTCTTTTTCACCATCATGTAATAATTAAGCTGCTGAATTAGTTGCAGTAAACAATAGTTTAAATGTTACACAGTCCACCAAACAAAAACTGGTAATCTGCACAGATTCTCTATCCGCCTTAATTAGTACTAAAAAAAATGCGACAGAAAAGAAGGCGCTTATTAAAGTATTTAATCAATAAGTCAATGATTTAATCAATCTGATCCTACGATAAGGTTTGAAATGAATGTTCAAAACCAGAACTTTAAGTTGCAGGTAGAGAAAAAAGAAATTTCTAAGAAATTCAAACCATACTTGAAAGAAAAATATAGCGATGAATTTGGAGAGAGAAACTTCACAATTGGTTCGGGAGGAAGTAGGCGAACCATCCCTCATACTACAAGTGATTTCTCGCAGAAGCACGGGGTTGGAAGGGAGAAGATGGAAATAATAGCGGGGAGTATTATTTTGGACTCGTTGGGGATCCTCCATAGTCTACTCTGATATCGATTTAATTCGAAAAGTTACAAAAAGTTGAGGTCCGGGGGAATCTCAAAATCGACAACATTTTCATAAAAAGCACCCCCAAAACAAAATACTCGACCCTGATATCGATTTAATCCGAAAGGTGACAAAAAAAATTAGATTATATAAACTAAAAACATATTTTTTTTTTTTTAAATTACTCATGGCGTAAAAATGTTTCATGAGTGATTTACTCATGGAGATAACATTTTTCACGAGTGACTTACTCATGGAGGAAAAATGTTTTATGAGTAATTTTCAAATTTACTCATGGGGAAGCTTCTAAGAGTGAGCACTCGGGACGTCACCGCTCTACATTTACTCCAGAAATTGCCCAAAACTGCTCCATCACCGCATAAACTAATCTTTGCCTTCACTATATCGTTTCTGTACACTATTTTTTTTTTCATCATATTTAATATGGTCAAATGGTCCCAAATAACTCTTTCGTTCCAGTTTTAAATAATGTCTCTTGAACAGATGAGTACGCTGGGTGATTTAGCAACTCAACACTTGAGCAGCCAAGCTGTATTATCATTGTAGTTCTCTCTACTAACAGAAATTAATAATATTTGAAATTATAGGAAAAAACAGTTCTACATAAGATGTATTAATACAAATAGATTAATACAAATCATAATAGATTAAGCCTGTAGAGAATATGTATGACAGATTAAACAACTTTGAAGTCAAATAAATAAATAATTTAAAAACATTAATTAACTTGGCATTGTAATTATTCTTTATTAATTCGATAAATATCAATTCTTCTTAATTTTGGATTTCTCCCGTTCTACTAAGGAGTCGAAAAATAACCATCTGTCACAGGCACTTCGTGTTACAGCACTAGTAGGGGGATTTTTAGGAGATTCTTCTACCTTTGTTGATGCGTTCTGTATAAATTCTCTCGAGTCTGAACTATCTAAAATAATGCTCGAGATAGTAGTAACAGGATCCTAAAAAATAAAAATGGTTTATTATAAAAAATGTTTTAAGTTAAGTTAACTTTAATTTTAAAATTTTAAAAATAAGGTATCTTTTTAATTATAAACTACAAAGTTGTATGCCATGATTATTAAATTAATGATTGGCATCAACATTGATAGCATTATTTTATTAATCACTAATATCTGATTTAAAATTATTAATAAATAAAAATTCATAAATTTTTTTCTTTCTTTTTACTTTCAATTACCTATATCTGTAATATATAGTAAGAGAAAGTATTGAGATCGTGAAAATTTTTGATTCTGAGTTTTCAACAGAAATACATGTTTTGAGGTCCCCTGAGTCCAAATTACCAATGTGTGTGTGTGTGGCTGTGTGCGTGCGCGTGTGGTTGAACAGCCTCAAAAACGAAAAGTCATACGAAACTGAAATTACATATTTCAGGTTTTTTATATGGCTCGGAAACCTTTATATAATATTCGATTATATTATGGCAATGAAAGTGTCACTTTATATAATCGATTTTAGACATTTTTCCGATTTTCTCGAAATTAGCTCTAACGATTTTGATTAAATTCATTGCATCATTGCAAAATGAAGCTGTTTTGAAAACAATGTAGGTTTTATTTTCAATGATGTTCTCTAATAGGGCTCTAATTGCTAATTTTCATGATTTTTTCTTCTAAAGTACCTTTTATTTGTTTTTATTTGAAATAATTAAACCATTCCACAATTAACTCTGATGTACAAAATAGATAAATATAAAATATGAAAGAATTTGATAATTAACTAAAGGAGAAATAAGAGATCGTAACGATGAATAGTTGTAAATCTCGTTAAAAGGATTAAAGGATTTAAAGGATCCACGAGGAGATGGGATAATTTATCATACTTAACTCAAAACAAGGACGTTTTTCTGGATTAGGATCATTTTCCGATATTTGTAGTGGAAAGATTAAACATGATGCTGTACCCACATCGTGTCGGGCAAGAAGAATACCTTTTCAACTTGAAGATCGATTGAAATCAACACTGGAAGCGCTAGTTAATAAATCGGTAATAAAGCAAGTCGAAATACCTTGTGATTGGGTAAATAATTTAGTGATTGTGGAAAAACCTGATAAAACTTTAAGATTGTGCATTGATCCTCAGAATTTAAACAAGTACCTTCTGAGGAAGTATTTTGAGATACCTACCCTTGATGAGATAAGCCTTAAATTTGCAAAAAAACGTTGGTTTTCTTTATTACTTTATTTGAACAATGGATCCCACCAAGTTCGTCTAGGCAATGATACTAGTGACCTATGTTCATTTAGTTCTCCTTTTGTTGTCTTTAAATATTGCCGAGCGCCCTTCGGGGTATCGGTGTTACCTGAACTTTATCAACAATTAATATCGAAATATTACAGAAATATTAAGAGGCTAACTGTCTACGTTGATGTTCTTTGTGAATCAGAAATAGAAGATGAACTGATTGAAATTGTTAACGAAGTTATTGCCGTTGCTAGACAAAACAACTTAAGATTTAATCCCGATAAAGTTCATTTTTTTGTGAATGAAGTCAAATACTTAGCGTTTTTATTTAACGAATTTGGGCACAAATCAGACCCAGAAAGAATTCGGGTTGTAAAAAATTTTAAGTCCCCTAGAAATGTAAAGGAGTTACATGGATAACTGGCTACACTGATTAAATGTTAAAAAGTAGGTTATATCATGGTTTATTATTATTATAGTGTTATTGTTCAGTTAATAAACTAACGTTCATTCTAAAGTGTATTCATTATTTAGAAATACCATATAAAACAAGCTGGATGGAATGAAAGTGTACTGGTGGACAGGAATACGTCGGAGTTTGAATGTAATATGTTGGCATTTGGATTCATTTACTTTAATGCGCCATTTATTACACCAGTGCTCAATCAGGGAAAGTTGTCTTTGAAGGTTTAAGGATGCTATACAAGGATCTGCGTCGGATGATAGATTGACGGTGTCATCAGTAAATGTTGCCAGGAAGGTATGGGGATGGACAGGGATATCGGCGTTAAAGAGGATGCTTACATTCTTATTACATCCTTTAGGACGGGAGCGCTACCTTGGAGAGTTAGGAGCGGAGGATAAGGTATACAGACTGAGGCAGATGGGTTTTAAGTTTGAAAAGAAGCCCGACGTGCCATGCCCGGTCAAAAGCCTGAGAAATGTCCGGAAATGCACCCGAGCAATATTGCTTGCTTTTCAGGCCTACGGAAACATGATCGACCACTCGAAGTCCTTGATGAACAGTAAGATGTTTAGAACGAAAAACAAATTGATGGGAAGGAATATTTTAGGATTCCATAATGGGTAGAATTCGTATTTAGAAGATCTTTTCAAAAAGTTTTAAAAGGTTTGGGAGTAAGTTAGTTGGTCTATAGAATGTTGAGCTACTGGGAGGTTTGACTGGATTTGGGAAAATGATAATAGTGGAGTGTCTCCATAAAAGATGAAAGTGGGTGGTTCGTAGGATGCTATTGTATATGTATATGAGGAATATGACAGCTTTAGGAGGGAGTTGTCAAAGGATCTGAGAAGTAAGGAGGTCGTATCCAGGTGATTTACGGGTAGGTAGTTTTTGTAAGTGATATTTGACTTCAGAAGTCAATTAAAGCATTTAATTTAGGCAGTAAGTAGAGTGGGATGGATGAATTAAGGGATTCCTCTACTGCTGACGTGTGGGTGGGGTTGGATTCCGGATAAGAGGAAAATGTAAGGGAAAGGTGTTTGGCGAATTCCTCGGCTTTATCGCTGTCAGACGCTGCCCAAGAGCCATAATCTCGATGGAGATTATGTGAAATATGATAGGATTTTTTTTGTGATCTTCTACAAGGAATTATGAGGAGAGAGGGAAGTAAGGTAGGAGTTGAAAGATTGTGGTCTGAAGATGCATAATTCCCGCTTTAATTTTTTATAGAAATAATTATAGCATTGACAAGCTATGGGTTGTGTAGTACGTTCTCATAATAATCTGACACAGGGGTTCTTCAGGAGTGTTTTGGAGAGGAAGCAGTCCAGATTGTTTGTTGAATAGTGGTGGTAATGGAATGTACGGTATTGTCAAGATCTTCTGGGGTTTTCAGGGATATTCTGAAGTCAATGTTGTCGGAAAGTATTTGGTGAAAGAATTTCCAGTTAACTGGACCTCTGATGAAGGACGGTGGAGGGGGCTTAGTAATAAGATCTACAGATGATTGGAGTAATAATGGACTATAATCTAAGGAAAGTTCGTCAAGATGGGTAAGGTAATGATTGAGGGGACCAAAATCATGGTGACAGGAAAGTAGAAGATTTTGTATACGATGGAGGTGGATTGCAGAAAATCTTGAGTCGGTAATGGGATCAGGTGATAAGATAGGGATTGGTGTACAATAACTGGCATGTGCTCTAATGTCAGGATGGCCAGTACGGTATATTATGTATTGAGGTATGTTTAAAAGTTGTTTTCTGGTCAGTCGAGTTTCCGTGATTAGTTCTACGTCGATGTTCTTACAGTAAAGCTGTTAGTTCGTCAACAATTTGACAGAAGACAAGGGATTTGAAATCCGTGAGGAAAGATGCTAACAAACTGGTGAGATCTGTGAAGGAGGAGGAATATGATCAATTTGTTATTGATGGTTAAATATTAGGATGAATAGGATTTTGAGGTTGAGGTTGTTGTTGCGGAAGGCCTTGAAATTTATCGGTTGAGTTCTTACCTCCAAGTAGTTGGGAGAATAATACACTATTGTTCACTATTTTAGAAGTCTCTCTCACTCTCTCTCTCTCTCTCTCTCTCTCTCACTCACTCACTCACTCACTCACTCACTCACTCACTCACTCACACTCTCTCTCTTTCTCTCTCTATCTTTTCTTGGTCTTACTGCCTCATCTTGAATAAGGTTTTTTTGGTGTCTGGATTTGAGATTCTTGTAAATTTGGCAACCTTTGTAGTTGGCCGAGTGTCCCTCCAAGCATAGTGCACACACTGCAGGATCTTGTATCGGTTTTGGGCACTCCACAGATTTGTACTGTTCATCGCATTTCACGCAACGTAGCAGATGGGGACAATAAGTCTTCGTGTGGCCGTACGCCTGACAATTATGAAACTGCACGATTTCTATCTTGGGGTATGGTTTCTGTAGTTTCACCATTTTGTAATATAATCTTGTGTATATATTTTTTTTGATACCTGGTGATGGCTCCAAGTCTACAAAAAACAAGGATAGTGGGATTTTATTTCTTAACCCTGGCTGTCCCTTATTCTCCTTTAAAACTTTATTTACCTTGCGTATATTGAAACCAAGCGTCGTTAGTTCTTCTGAAGTATTCACAGCGGTCATTGGAGGTGTCTTTCGTTGGCAATGACGAGTTCATTTTGCTGATGAACCACGTGGGGTAGAACCGTCTGACCGAGTACTCTTAATGGGCACCTTACTAGACATCACTTGTTGATAATACCGCATATTATAAGAGAAGAAAAAAAATATATCAAACAGCAAATATCAACTGCTCTGATGTACAAGTGAACGATATTCAGTGAATGATCAGAGAGATTCCGCTGAAAAATAGGCAAATACTGAAAGACGAGTTGAGAGCACAACCTTCGCTTCAGTTGATCCATCCACTGCCTTGAAACAAAATTAAATTAGCCCAGTCAAATTAGCCAAAAAAATGGGGTCTGCCTCGCAAAAGGTCTTCTTCTTCTTCTTCTTTGTCTACCTCACAATGCCATTTCTAGCGTCGAGGAGCCTCTATCCAGCGCAGCCACTCTTCCCGGTCTCTGCTTAACCACTTCATTTAGTTGAAGGATTTGCCTCTTCTACCTCCGATCCTCTCCATGAATTCCTGATATAAGACTCTGGGACGCCCTCGTGGCCTCTTCCCTGTGGGTCAAGCCTCTAATATCTTTATAGGGTCCAATTCCTCGTTCATGCGGCAGACATGTCCAAACCAACTTAATTGCCTGTTCTCCAAGGTGGTTTTGAGTTCAGGCACT